TTCATCATCTACCTTAGATATCGTTCATATGTATGTGATTTGCCGTTCTACCATGACGCATTTTATGACCGAGTTGCTCAAAAGAAATTTCCTAAAGACAAGTCCATTACAGAACTTTAAACAATAGTCTCCTACAATCATCAGTTCTGGTGGATCTATGATATTAGCAGAAAGCATTATTTTCAAATTCACTTACCTGTAGGCATACCTATGGACCAATTCTTATCATTGCTCCTAGCCTCATTTATGCTCCAAGCCTCATCCTAGACCAAAATAATCAGTCTCTCTATATCGTCGGTTGTTCCACCGAGACTACGTCTGGCTTCACTAGACTGTCGACAAATGTCAGTTTTATTAAAGAATGACCCATTCCAGACGGTTATTTCTGTCTAGCCTCATCCATGAACATCCTGCCTGAACTACGGTCACAATTCTCCCTAATTCTTACTGCGATGAGGAACAGGCCGGCTTTCCTAAGTTTTAAAAGCCAGGCCATAACCACTGGGCCCCGTGACACAAATTCGGAACGACGATTCTGAATGGTTAACAGTCCGCCGTGTGCATGCAACGATGATCTTGATTGGCCATTAACATTTTGCAATTGATTACAAACCTTTGTGTTATGGGGCCCTAAGCCCCTAAGCATTTTGAATAAGTTTGCAGACGAATCTCCTCACCTACACAGCCTACATACCGATTGATCATGTCTACAGCAGACCCCAAAAAATAAACATAGGCCAAAACCACAGTTCCTTTCGTAATAGTTCTGTCCACGCATACCCGCTCATTTCAGAAACCTCGCTTGATCTGTAAGAAACTTCGTAAAGTTCCTACTACGCGCACGCGTATTGTGTGTCATTGGAATGCACATAACAGGTGCATTAAATCGGCAGCAGGTGTTCGGTCTAGAAAACATGCATACATTTGCATAAATCAGCTGGTCTAAAGGTATACGCTTAAATACACTTGTCGATTTCGCGCATCATAAATGCCTGTCTTTTAACACAACGTCGGAAAGCTGTTCCGATTCTCCAAATTAAGTGGCTTCGTACAGCGACAAATGTATTCATAAGCGTAGTATTTTATTTCAGAGGTATGACTAACATATCACTTTGTCACGAATACAACCCTAAATGACTCGGCTTATTAATTAATCGACTGCATCGGGCAAAGACGGCACAATGATACTGCGCTTTTTCCGGCTTTATCTTCTTCTTCAGCATCGTCATCATCATCTCCCTCTTTCCCTTTTTCTTTCTTTCTTAAAACCTCTCTGCACTAGTTTGACATGGAGGAATTAGACCTTCCTGCGAGGTCACTGGCAGGTGGTTATTTCATCAAATCAGCTCTCAATTAAAACATAAGAAAAAGGGCATCATGGGGGATCGACGGGTAGGCCTACCACTCAGGCATTGTTGGCTGTATAGAGGGCGCAAATAGCTATGTAGTGCAGTGGGGCTTTTAGACATTGGTCCGCCTTAGACGCTGGATCTAAGCCATGTTTAACTAGTAAAATTAAAGCTTGGTCTAACTTCCTTTTTGATAAACTTGAAATCGGGTCTAGAGGAGAAAACGGACTTTAACACTTTTATAGGCGTATTTAAGGATTACCCAAAACAAACAGGAATTGATTTTAGGACAAATTCTGAACAACAAAAAATCAGTCTCATGACACTCCACCCACACACAAGAACATATGAATGACCCCGATCTCGCCTCGTCCATGTCTCTTTGTTTCGCGGTCTCTCTCTCTCTCTTTATATGTGCGATCTCATGTCTATTGCTGGGGGTCCATCCCCCTTAAATAAGTGTGTTGTTGTTTGATTGGGTTTTAAGGCAATTCAGTCAAAATCGACTATTTATGCCTTAAGGAAAAATATCCTGTCTTTTAAATCATTACACGACTCATTATTCTAAGCTCTTGTTTCTTTTTTTTAAGTGATTGAGAGCCTCTCAACGTGATGCCATTTGTAACATTTTTTAATAATAATAATAATAATAATAATAACAATAAATTTATATAGCGCAGCTTTTATACAAAATATATTCAGCTGCGCTGGTTAAGAGCTCCTTTTTACTAAATTCTACAAAATAAGATCACTCAGTTGAACAAATAAGTTTTTAAATTGGAATTAAAAACATTGAGAGATGGAGTGCTTCGTATTTCTATTGGCAAGCTATTCCATAGTTTGGGGGCAGCAATAGCAAAAGCACGGTCCCCAAGAGTTACTTTAGTTTTGCCATGGGGAATCTGAAACAATAATTTATCTGTGGAACTGCGCAGGCTACGACTGTGTGATTGGACTTTGAGTTGAAGTAATTCTTTGATGTAATTAGGGGCTTGACCACTCAACGATTTATAGACAATTAACAATATTTTGAATGAGATTCTTTGACGGCTTTTAAGGCTTATTTGCCTACTTAAAATTCCTGGGATTAAACGCAATGTGGTCATACAAGTTTTAGCGAATGTAACCCCTCTCTGGCAGGCAAAGTCAAAACTATGAGGTGTCACGGCATGGGCGAAAATTATACTGAAACTGCTCATTTGGTCACTGATTTAAAACTAATGAAACAGAAAAAATAAAGAAGCTTTAAAAATGCAAAAAGGCAAATATTTTTATGCAATGAAATATGTTTTTACTCATAATACCTTGCAACATACAGGTATCCTATACACAACAAGATTGGTAAAGTATGTGTGCATTGTAAACACAAATCAAGTGTGTCTCCCCAAGGGAACACACAGGTTGTTTTGTCTAATAAACATAAACAATAACTTTTCATAATAATACAAATGATGCACGTGAATGAGTTCATTTACGATTTATCTGCACTCAAGTTGAGGCTGTATGTATCCATCGTACAAAGATGTCTGACGAGTACGATAGGTGCATACACAGACTCAACAAGAGCAGATAGATCACGTATTGAAAGAATGAAAACATGCGTTCTTTGTTGTATGCAACCTAACTCCTAGATCCTTATACAAAATTGTTTAGTGTCATTATTGCTGACGAATGAATCCCAAGTATAAAAGGCTTACTTTAAGCGCACACGCAGAGATACACGCACTAACCTCTAAAAGCTGCAGCGCACCGCGTACTTGAAAATTGTTGGATATGACTGGAAACTACTGCACGTTTCTTCATGAAAAAAAAAAGACCGCATTTGACCAATCATTTGATTAGGATCTAGGAGTGAGTTGTATGATCATACAATATATAACAAACCAAGCCATACTCAATGAGGATGTCTGAACAATGCAATGAACAGTTTTCTCTGTCTACCAATGCACATAATGGTAAATACTCACAGGCTTTGTTTAATACATGTATATGTACACGATTTTGCTTACTTCAAGCATTGAACATCAATCAATGTTCTTTGATCGTTTTCAAGGGTAAATTTGACCCTTGAACCTTGAAAACGATAGATCAAAAGCAGTTGTATAGAAGGCATGTGGGATCATGTTCAACACTCATAATTTAACGTACAGGTATTTTTATGCAAAGCATTTTATAACTCTACTGTACGTACCGATTCCATCATCGTGCATCTTTGACATTTCAAAATAAATATATACTACACAGTTAACTAATGGGTAACACATTACAATCACAATAATGACAATGTATTTAATACATCTACTAGGATAATTTCTACAGGCAAAATTTCTAGGGGCATTTAATTTCTCAACCAACTGTTTATGAAATATGTATGCAATCATATTCGATCAACTGTTATAATGACACAGGAACTCTCTTAGTCAAATTCATATAACTCAATTACATACCCTTTTAACAAAAGGTTTTCTTGAGGACATAGCACCACAGGTTTGCCCTACATGGCAACAACTAATCTATGCAAAATGTATTCCTTCCCTAGAGATACCATTAGGGATTGGAACCAAGGGTTTTGGAGAGAAACATGCATGAATTGAAATACAAGTACACATGTACAGTGTAGGTCTATTTCATTGACATGTACATATTGCTGAATCATGAACCATTAAGTCTTTATGCAAGCATATAAACACTCCTTTTCCATATATATAGTTATCAAATTGTGTATAGATACCTCTTGGTTAAGTGCCTCATCATAACATTTTGTTGTACACCTTTTATGAATAATATATTTTAAAAGACGAATGCTTATAAACCTCCAAAGATACTAAACATTGAATGTAGTCTGTTCAGAGCGAGAAGAGCGTTAACGGGAGATGGCTGTCAGTTTTCATGTCATAATTAGGTGATAATTGGCTGACACTAGACTTGGCTGCACAAATCCCTCACACAGCAAAGTTGTAGTCCCATCAAGAAATACCCCCCCCCCCCCTCCCCGACTCTTGGAGAGTCTTTGGTTGAGGGAAATGTAAGATAATGACTTTTCCATGAATGGCGATTGGTGGAAAATGCAAAGCAAAGCATTACATGAGGCCTGTTGGTCATAAAACTGAAGGCTAATCCTGGTGATTGAAAACACCTTTTATTGGGTAAACAACAGAATGGTGTCAAATTCCCCATGAGAGCCCACTACTCTGTGTCTTTAAGAATATGTTAAAGTGTATGAGCTACAGCCCTTGTGGCTTAAAAAACAGACGATACATGAGTGAGAAATACATTGATGGATATTCCAGAAGTACTTTGGTTTGTTGGCTTCATTCTGAACACAGAAGCAGCACGGAGACACAAGTTGGTTTTACAAACTAAGCCAGAAAAGGGATTTGAAATGAAGCATGAGGGGCCTGAAATTGGTATTTGTCATGACCAGAAATCACGATATACAAGAGAAACTAGTATTCCTGGGCCCCGTCTTAAAAAGAGCTGCCATTGATCAAAATTATTTCCTCCCCCAGTCACAAGTTTACCATTTCCTTCCTCCTAAGTGCACACTTGATGTTGATACCAAGTTGAGAACGATTTGAATCGATAGCAACTCTTTATAAGACAGTGGCCGCAAGTCATCCAAGCGATCGCACAGAGTTGTGATTGCTATCGATTTGAATCAATTGAAGCTGTTCATAATACAAGGTCTTAGAACCACATGAACAGGAGGATGGTTTCTACACATCTTCTGCTTTCAGTATCTCAAATACAGGCAATGACAACGGTTGATACAGTACCGGGTAACCAACAGGGTTTAACAGTCAGTCCTACATTTCTCTGTTCACTCTCCATTGCTTGTCTTTCAGTTTGAGAGTTCATAATTCCCCAACAGCTGCTTTACTTTAATCAATTAATCCACGTCATCAAGATTTGTTGATGTTTGCTTGTCGATCTCCTCATAAACCTCCTCCTCTTCCTCCTCTGCCGCCGCCCCTGCCGACGCCCCATCCTCGTCTCCCTCTTTGTCCTCCCCGCCCCCGGGCACCCAGAGACCCGAGTCGACGCACCGCTTCATGTGGTAGGTGGCATCCTCGGGTTTCATGTTGGCAATGCATGCTTGGAGCTGGCCGACGCTCTTGGACTCGAAGCAATCCTGCAGCTCCTGCAAACCAATGTGATAAGAATAATATTCATATACCATACAGCACTTTTTGTCTGCGATTCCCAAATGATTGTAACATTCAGTCATTTTTCCAGCAAAGATTCACAGACAGTGTCTTAGATTTCCCGTGATGTTTTAACCAATCTTTACTCAAGAAAAGGATAAGGTAAGAATTCTTGGTAGATTTTTGTGTCAATTCTGTACATAAAAGACATATCGACTGCTTTAAAATTTGAGGCCTGGCTGTTGGCTCTCTGGGACGTTGCAACTTCCCAGACCCCGAATCGTGTCTGAGTGGGTGGGGCGACAAGGGGTCATGGCAGGATACCATAAGTTCATCCATCATGCGGAGATATAAACATACACTTGGCACACAAAAAATGTTCTATAGCTGATTCTGAACAGAAATCAACAACAGTAACCTATAATAATTTCACTTGGTTACGTTTGAGGTAATTTAGTGTAACCTGTAAAGTGTCTTTCCTATACCTTTGTTGTGGCTTTCCTGTGGCTAAATAGCAGATAGCAGCTGAAATATTGTGTAACATTTTTCCCTATATCCTCAATCTATACTTAATAAGTATGAACCAAACAGAATGATGTACAGCTGGGACACACAATTTTGCCACATTTCTTGTGACGCTACTTTACCTACAGTGACAACCGATGGAGTGAGTTATCCAATTAAAAAAAATGCCAGTGTTTCCATTTTTGAAATGCATGATCCAAAGCACTAACTGAGGGACTTGGATGAACTCCACTAATGGAAAATATCTTTTGTCCATTACTTAATGTTGCCATGGAAAAATTGTTTAGGAATGTGATACATCACAGCATATCTACTTCTACCGGTAATTAAAAACTCGGGGGTTCTGCTCACAAGGTTACAATGACTTATTTGCATATTTGAAGGGTGCACTCAATTTTCCTTGATATTGACCACCTTTTGAAAGAGATGAAAAGGGGGTAAGTTTAAATTGGGGAGATGTGAGTTGGTCTAGTAGCATGTTCGATTAGTCAGCTCTCTGTCTACGCCTACAATCCGACTCAGATGAGCCCGGTTCGAAACTGAGTCATGTCTTTCGGATGGTGACATTAAAGGTTGGTGGCCCGACGTAAATAATCATATCGGATTGATACACGTCTGTAAAAAAAAACTATTACACACACTCACTCCCTCCTTTGTAAAATGGGTTTATTACTTTAAACAAGTAAAATTACACTTTTTTTCTGGAAAGGGAGGATCATACTGAAATCCTCGCAGTCGTTATATTCCACCTTCTCTAATCTACTACTAGTACTACTAATAATAATAATAAGAATTTCTATAGCGCTGTCTATCTAGAAATTCTATTCCGAGGCACATTTATTATTACCCCGGCTTTAGCCTAGCTAACATTACAGCGCTCCAGCCTTTCAAGGAATTAATTCCTGCCAGGTACCCATAGTGAACATCCTGGAATTGTACTTACTTTTGGCAATGTCTCAAACACGTCTGCTGGATCCAACCCTCCTGGTCCTATTCTCGCTAGCCTCTCCGCCTCCATTTCCTAGTAGTTAAATGAAATTTGTGATAAAAGGCAGTGTCATCAAAATTAATCTGGCATCTTTTTGCCACCTGTGCATGGGGCATTGTTTCACTTCATAACAGTCTATATCATAGAAAACAATATGAAAAGATTAATTTTTGGATAACTTTCTGTTCTTATACTCAATGATTTTCAAAGCCAGCGTTGCACGAACGCTATTTTCAGGCAAATCCAAAACTTTTTGCTTAGACATTGCTTAGACATTAGACTGAGCTGCACCAAGAGTCTGTATCCAATCATGGATATGCCGCATGCACCTAAATTACAAGGGCTATGCCCATGAAGAAGTCTCTACTACTGCGGACAGACTCGGACATCTTGCAGTGCAGCAGTTGCACAGACGAAGGCCTGGCCCTTGTAAATGAGACGACCATCGCAGCCGTCGGTCGATGGAAGAACTTAATTTAATGTAATCTAATTTAGGAACTTTACATTAATCTTGATCTAAGGAGACACGAATGAACGAACCTAAATGTGCTCTCATGAATTGATGAAGCTTGCTTGGCAAACGGGAGAACGGGAGAGGGGCTTTAAACATGCTCCAGAAAAAAATTACTCTGCAGTCAATTTCTTATATCAACCATCAACTAAGCCATGAATAACATCAAACACAACTGCAACGCTATACTTTTCCCTTAACCTATATCCGACAAAACAAAACCTGCAGTAAATGTTGGGATACATGTTGTGTGGTAGCTTATTTTTAACCTACCTCTTCTGCTTCTCTGTAAGCCTTGTCTATCCTGACCTTTGCTCTCCCTCTCACCCTCTCCTTGAAGGAATTCAGCTCATCATCAAAGGCATCCTGGTACTGCTTCTCAGCCTTCTCCATTCTGAGTTTGAATTTGAATTTAAATTTATTAACTTATCACATCACAATAATGACAGTACATTATATCATGAACAATCATACAATTCAGAGAATAATACTGATACATGTATAAATAACATAAGCGTACTGTTGATTGAACAGTACCTGTTTCAAAATGAAATTTAGACATAGCTCTGCATACTATTAAATTTACAAAAGATATACACATACAATGTGTATTACTAATATTTAGGTGAAGTTGTTAATGGGAACTAGAAGTTAGCACAAGTGCTAGTCGAGCCTAGTTCCCTTCTGAGAGGGAAAAAAACAGAGAAGAGGAGAGAAGATCAAATTGAACGACCACTTTCAAGCTATCCTTTTTGCGATTAGTCTATGACTACAGCCTGGGTTTTTTTTCGCAAAGACTAAGATCAAATTTAAGTTGGACTTCAGTTCATTTTTATTCAAAACCACACAAAACATGATATAATCTGTTACATAAAAAAGAGACTGATAATAGTACATCAATCAACATCTTTTAACTTGATTACATCATAAACTGAATGGTTTTAGGACCTCTTTAGAAGCTAAGCTTGTGAGTTGCAGGACGTTCATGGTACTGTTTGCTCTCAACATTTACTGGTACTGGTCTCTCAAGGAACGTACAAATCATGGTCACAAATCTACAGAATTGACTCTTTTTGATAATTCATTATTGAAGGAAATAATATTATCTAAAGATCATAATGGTGAGAGCAAACAGGGGCATGAACAGCCTGCCATAGTTAAGTCCAACTTAAAGGCGATCTTAGTCTTTGTGAAACACTCCCTTGGTAACAAAGTCTACTGCTCTGTCATATCTGGCCGCAACTCACAGACTTTTTTTCTTCTTTTGTATGTGTGTGTGTTTATGTGTGCTTTGCTCCCTAAGTTTCTGTTTATACTCTTTAATTTGGACCTTCTGTTTATTGTACTGTTTTATTCTTGAGTACAAGGAGGAAAGCTTAAGTAATACTATCAAAAGACTTGTGGATAAAAAGGGCAATTAAGGCACATGTCTAACATTGATTCATCCAAAGAAATATGGATTTGAACATGAAGATGGGCCTCTTGTTCAACATTTGAATTACCATGTGCCAAAAGAAAACAAATAATAATAATATATATTTAAACAAAAAAAGAAAATAGACAAAATTCCCAACATCAAAGTTGTCTAAATTGTTAATGACACAAGTATACACAGCAAGAAACTTGTGCGCATTGAAAATATTCAGTTTGAAAATCTACTCATTTTGCAGCTTGAAACTTCTGCCAATTTGGACAACTCACAAAAATTTTTTGAAGCACATTAAACCTATCTTCTTTTTAACAATAATAATAATGATATTCCGCATTCATATACCGCTTAATATGTACTTCAACAGTCTCAAAGCGCTTTACAGAAGTGTTATTGCCCCGCTCATCGGATTCAGTCTTGCCTGCACACAATGTATGCAAATTCTCCACTCCCTGGGGAGCATTCCAATCAAGCGTCATTTTACAGAGCAAACTAAATTGGACTTTGTAAAAGTTACAACATAGAAGACTCTGTGGAAAGAGGGGTAAAGACACTTACTTTGTAAAGAAAGGCCTGACGCATGATCTTGGATCGCGATCAAGACTCTTGGCCAACTCCAGCAGATATTGCATGATAATGGTCTGGTGGGCTACCTGCTCCATCAAGCCGTGTTTCTACAACAAAACAAAAGATTAGGGCTCCATTATGACTTCTACAGTAATACCTGTTCATAAAGACCACACAGAGGAAAAGTATAGGCAGCTGGTCTTTATATGAAGGTTCCTTTAGTACAGGTTTCAGGCGAAAAAGAAATGTGGTTTTTAATAAAAGGTGGTCGCTAAAGCAGGTTTTACTGTATTTGGCTCATTGTTTAATCATGCTTCAGTTCACACCGTGACACTTACATTGCCATAACCACTCATGGAATTGCAATCAAGACACTTATATTAACATTTACTCATGAAATTATCAAGCACACCACTCTCAGTATGTAGTCTGCTGTCTCTCCGTAGACCAACACTTCTGACTAACACTACTACTTAACACTACACCTTCACATTATAGGGTACAACACATCTACACAGTATATGCTTACCTCTTCTACTTCTAAGTTGATACACCAAAAAACAAGGTAGTTTGCCGTCTCTTCTTAGTCCAACACTTCTCACTAACGGCACTAACACTAACACTTAACAACACCTAAACAGTACAGGGTGCAACACATCTACACAGTATAATCCTTACCTCTTCCACTTTTAAGTTGATACACCAGATAGCAAGGTAGTTTGCCACAGTTCTTCACAGACCACGTTAGGATGATCTCTACAACACTACTCACTAAAGGCTATAACACTAACACCTTCACAGTATAGAGTGTAACACATCTACGCAGTATAATCCATACCTCTTCTACTTCTAAGTTGATGCACCAGATAGCAAGGTAGTTTGCCGTCTCTTCACAGACCAGGTTGGGATGGTCAACCAGGAATTGCTGAGCATCGGGATATTTCTTGTACATGCCAAACTGTTTGATCAGCTTCTCGTTCTTCTTAACAAATTTGTCCTGTATTAGAAAATAATAATCATATTAATATGATTGCTTAGATACAGAGTTCTCAAGAACTAGTATGTCACAAATTTCATTTCACTGCTTAGCATTCTAGTATTGCAAAATTGTGCCAATCAGTCTGCCAATGTACTTATCTACTTAAATGTCCTTGAGCAAGGCATTATCTATATTGCTTCTCTCCAGCCAGGTGCTAAGAAGACCTGTTTTCATCAGCTATTTTCAGACTCAGGATATTATCCAGAAGCTCGAAATTGCGTCCTCACCAGACCGATACGCTCATCACAAACTAGCTCGGACGGGCGCAAATTTGCCCAATATTTCCCAAAATAGCCGGATATTTTTGGAACAAGAACAAACATTTCTCAGTATATTTTCTTGACCAAATATCCCGCTACGGTAATTTCAACTGCGGGCTGATGAAGATGCAAATTAACTGGCTGAGTTGTGATCAGGAGAGTTATAATAGCAGGTAATTTGGCAAACTCAAGCTGATGAAGACAGGCCTACTGTAACGTGCTGAATAGTCATTGAATCCAGTAACCAGAGTAATAATAATACTGTAAGCACTTTGGTCAGTTGTAACTAACTGGTAAAAGGGCCCATGACATTGAAATACAAGTGTATTCCTGTTGGTGTGCAGTCCTGCATACATCTCATATTTTGATATGTAAACTTCTGAATTTGTTTCATAGATTTTTAAATATTTTTTAAAATATTTTTTTCTTCAACTTTGTGGTTAACTTTGGCAAAGTTACATGCCACTTTGTTTGCTTGTTTTTATTTCTGCATTTTCTCAAGTTGGCTCATTGATGACTGACAGATGACATCACAGGGGGAATGAGATCTGGAGGTTTGGGGGTGGAGCTTAGCAAGTTTGAAGAAAAAAATATTTAAAAAAACATTTACAAATCTATGAAACAAATTCAGAAGTTTACATATCAAAATATAAGATGTACAGTATGCAGGACTGCACACCAACAGGAATACACTTGTATTTCGATGCCATGGGCCCTTTAAGTGCTTTATACATATACAAATCAGTTATTACTATTATCACAACTAATTCTTACCATTTTATCTTCCTTCTCCTCCTCTGTCATCTCTTCCTCTGTCTTCTCATACGAGTTGATTATTGTCTTCTCAAAGCCTGGCTTGCTTAGGGTGTCAACGTTCCATGGGGTTTGCTACCAGAGGGAAGAAAGAAACAAAATAATATGAATACAACAATAGACCATTTCACGGTTTAAGCCTCAGTCACAAATGCCATTACGAACTGCTACAAACAATTTTCAGACAATGGAAATTCGGGAAGACAGTGGAAAAATAGGGAGATATGTACGAAATAATCGTTCGTACGAACCATTGTGACCGCTGCATAACATGTCCCAAATGACCCTGAATATCCACAGATCTTCAAAACATGAAGAGGTCCCACTTTGTACATTTTGAAATAATCACTCTTACAGCAATGGAAGTGCTACATTAATAGCCTTTGTTTCCCCTTTTCAAAGAATACTTCCCCCTGTGTATCATAGAGTACACTGCTTGTGCATAAATGAATATTGATTACATACTCTAAGGTTCTTAGATGCTACTTTTATTGGAGGATCTCGCGCCTTTGAATGTTTTTTTAAACAGATATATGGCGCCATACAAATGCTGTTCGTCATCATCATCATCACTCTGGCTCAATCTGAGCCATATTTTGAAGTACAGTCAAACACGCTTTAACACTATATACATGTACATATACCCTATACAAGGTATAGAGTATTGTGCGGTGTGGAAGCAAACCCATACAGTACCCGTTTCTGATTCACAAAGGGACAGGTAATAATATGTGCTGGATTTTCTTTCAGTAAGTGCAGTATTTCCTGGTTTCTCCCTCAAGGCCAGCCAATATGGCAACTTAGGTGTACCGGTAGGCATGAGAGGGTATCCTTCACGTATATAATATTCCTTTTTTTAATTTTTTTTTATGAGAGTGATATCTTACCTTTTCCTTCTTTTCGATTTCAGCTTCCTTCTCTCTCCATTTCTTCTCCTCCTCCTCAAGTTGTTTCAGTTTGGCTCCAGCCTTTTTAGCTCCTTCCTACAAAAATGCAAACAAAATAAGACCATTTCGTTACTATGGATTAAAAAAAAAATATTGTTTCTCATGTCAATGGAAAATGATTGGGGATGAAAAAAGCAGCTGTATAAAATAATTAACACTATATGGATACTCATTTTATCTCTATTATCAAATTTGAAATGTTAAGAAGAATACTCTTGAAGAAAAGGTCAAGTTGACAGCAAGGTAAAACAAAGAATTTTTGAAATTTCCATTCGTTTTATGTAAGTGTGGGAAGAGTATCATTACAAAAAAAGTCCCTTGAAAAGGATGGCTTTAACAGGCTCTTCTTGAAACATGTTTTACAAAACTTGTCAAAAGTGTGAGACACTTAACCTACTCAAAGAGACTTAAAGCACTGAAAATCCCCACTCTATAGTTCAGATGGAAACGATCTGACATGATTCAAGTGTTCAGAATAATGCACCAGTTCGATAATCTTCAAGAAGAACATTTCTTCAGCAGAACAAAGTGGAGTCGCACCCTTGGTCACTCACTTAAAGATAAACTTGAGTTCTGGTAAAAAAAGAAAATGAATTCTCACAGAATCTAACAAAACTTACACTGAATGTTCAAGATTACAAATAAATGTCATGTGCCAAACAATTTTTGAAAAAAATGTATACTGGCTGAGTAATGATAAAGATAAGGAAATCAGGGTAGTACTAGCCCCGACACCATGTGTGTTGTCCCATATACATCTTTCTGTGTAAGTGATTGTTACTTTACCAAGACTCTGCCAAATTTATGATGATTTTGATGACTCCAGAACCTTGCATTACACACCATTACTTACATGCTATATGATCAACTTTTCTGATCCATTCCACACCTTTTCTTTCACAATGTAATCGCATTACCAGAACTCAAGTTTATCTTTAAGCTTAACAAGGTAAAATGCAGGAAGACCTGAAGGAAAAAATCATTCAGCCAGAGAATAATCAATGTAGAATGGTCTTCCAGGCGATGTTGTGGAGAGTACCACTATGAATCATTTTAAATCTGGACTTGAGAAATGGTGGAAAGATGCCCCAGATAAATATGATGACAACCCCAACCAAACGAAACCATGGATAGGAACAACAGTCTAAAGACCAAATAATCCTGGATCAAGTGAGTTACAAGTGAGTAAAGGAACCTGTCTACCAAGACCATGTTTTGTGTTTCCCTTGGGCGGTCACTATAGACAGGTTTGACTGTAGTTGCAAAGATTTGGGTTTGAGGTTAAAACTAAGCTACACCGTACTTACCTTGTCTCCTTTTGTTGAAAGATCCTCAAGCAGATGCCTGGTGTCCTCAAGAGCATTCTGAACCCTAAAATGAAAGAACAGGATTACAATTCAAAGTCAAAAATCAATTTTATTATTAAAATTGTAATTATTAAACACAATCATGCGTTGCAATGTAAGTTGAATTGTGCACAATTTCCTCTTCTGTTCTTTCCTTTTCCTTTTTTCTTGCCTTCTTTCATTGCTTTTGTTTGTTCTTTCTTTGTTTTCTCTCTTTCTTAGTTACTCGTTTTGCTTGTCGAATAATAACTGTAAAATAAAATATGCCTTCTTTACATATTACGTGGGATTTCCTACCCGTAGGCGCGATAGCTCAGTTGGTAGAGCAGTGGTCTCGTAATCCGACCACCCGGGTTCAAAACCAAGTCGATGCACTAGTGCCCTTTGGAAAGTCATTAATCCTCATTACCAGGTCTCTCGCAGAGGACCTTAAGCAGTCGGTCCTCTGGTTGCTTACTAACAAGCGTTTATGCTTTATAAGCAGTCAGGTAAAATAACCAGCACTACACATCTTAAAACCACCTTTCCACCTACTTCTCTGTACCCTTCTCCACGTCTTTCCTCTCCTTCTTCTGCTCCTCCTCTCGTTCTACTCTTGCCTGGTGCCGCCATCTGAACAGGCTGGGCGTGTCGATGTTAGGATGAGTGTCATCCTCATCATCCGACACCTGTCAATCAAGAGAATAAAAGGTTGTAATTAAAAGGGCAAATCACTGATTGCTTGGTTGGCACAATATGCAAATTTTAAAAATCCTTGATTTCTTGTTGTCGCCGGCACGTTCATTTGGCCAGCTCTCTGTCTACGCCTACAAACTGGTTAAGGCGATCCCGGTTCGTATAATAAATCGTATTACCTAAATAATCATATTTGATTGATACACGTATGTAAGAACCAATTACACACACAGTAATAGACTCTACAATGTTTCTAATATATTCATTTGTATGGAAGCAGAAAATAATAAGAGATAACAAATGAAAGATTGTAATAGATTGGACCAATAATGTGGGAGTTACACATGTACAGGGTACATGTTGGTCTACCAAGAATTTACGTAGAGATAAGAGGACATAGCCAAACTGTAAGACATGCACACAGACGAACTGGAGTGGGTCTCATGTCGTTATGAAACATCCCTCTCACCTCTGGATTATTCTTGGCCATTTGGCCATGGGTTTATGCCATGTTTATGAAAGGGTGGGTAGCATCGCGACGTGTCACGTTGACTTAAACGCGACCATTCGTCCAAAGCCCTAACCGGTTTAGCGCGGTAGTGCATCCTTTCTCTTTGGCAGTTGAATCGACGATACAACATGAAAGAATCGTCGTGGTAGGACGAAGAATCACCCCCTTTTTCCCATCGAAGACTTCTTCAAATGATAATTTCAAGTGGCCAGCCAGGTGCCCAGAGGAGTCGAGCAACCTAGTAAGTCAAAATTGTGATTCAATTGTGATTGTGACTCCCTTTGCCTATTTTGAGATAATGTTGCCCAACCTGCTGTTTGAATATTTTCCAATGCACCTGCTGAAGCTCTGACGCCTTCGGCATCAGCGTCTGAGCTTCCTCGAGTTACCTAAAAGTATGAAAAACGGATAATTCTGATCTACTTTATTTTTAACACACCCTTTCAAAACCGGGGGGGGGGGGGGGGGGGGCTTTGGACGAATGGTAGCGCTCAAGTCAACACGACACGACGCTACCCACCCTTTCGGCATAAGCCCTGGCCATGTGCCTTTACCTCTACTACTAGTCTACTGTATAATCTCTAGGTCTAGGTCTATTGTTATCTATATCTGTTTGTAATTTGTTCATTTGTTTTTTTTTTTTTGTGGTATGTTTTCTTCTTCCTTTTTTTCTTTTCCAGTTTTCTTTTTCCTTTCTCGGTGTTTGTTGAAATTGTTGGTTTTTCATCAAAAGGTTTTAGCTTTCAGAAAAATTTTACTTTTTGTTAGATCTAAATTTTATTCAAATTAAAGTCAAAGTCATAGTCAATGACCAGGTCCAGGATGACAAAGAAATATTTGTCTCAGAAGTCAGAATCAGATCAGACTCAGCTCAGAGTCAGAGCACACCACTACAGACAATACTTGAAATACCAATTCCCCTTTTAATTGGTGACAAAATCAAATTATTGACATATTGTCCCTCGGCAGAGCTTGCTTCAAACATGGACACACCACAATTCGCACAAAAACAATTCAATCATCGCGCATCGCACATCACTTCACTTCAGCCAGAGTTCAGTCAAGCATCAGTCCCATGCACCGGAATCGGCGATGTTTTTCGAAGAGCTGAATTGATTAGTTTACATTAACTATTAAATTGCTTGATCACATAAGGTACAATATGCAAGCGGATAAATTATAAATCTACAATAGTAAAATCAGTCTTCACAAAATAGTTACATCAATGTGATCCCACTTGCTGTAATCAACCATTTTTCCAATCTGTGTTCCAGCTTCAATTCCGAAAAATGACGAATGTTCGGGAAATCCCTAAACGTGAGTCGAACGGTAGATGGCGTTTAACCTCTTCGTCCGCGATGCTGTGATCGTGAACGTTTGAAATATAATTCAATTCAATTCAATTCAATTCATTTATTTTTTCCTCTTTCAATCGTTCATATTTACAATGATGGTATATTTTAACATATTCACATATTTATATACATATAGATCAATTTGCACAATACAATACATTAAAAAATAAACATGAAATTGAAAGGGAAGGAGGGCCGACTAAAAAGCAGAGCTTGTAGGGTGTAAGCCCCCCTGTAAAAGTAATTATCATGAATTATCATTTTATGAGAAAACAAAACAAAAACAACAATAATAACAGTAACTGATTCAGTAATACAAAAAATAAATAACTTTTAAACGCAAAACATTGATAAATACATACATGTTTATAAAAAGAAATAATCAAAGTTGCATAAAGTCACACTACAAATTATATTTGATTGGGGAATGCAATAGCCTAGTAACTATTCAGAAGAAAGCTTTTAAGTCTCCTTTTGAAAATTTGTATCGAATTACACTGTATAATATCATTTGAAAGAGAATTCCACAGTTTTGGACCTGTAAAAGCAAATGTCTTTTGTGCAAAAGATGTTCTATTTAATGGTAAATGAAAAGAGCTCGCCTGGCGAGTGAGGTAACTATGAATCGAATCATTTCTTACGAACATATCATTAAAAGGCAAAGGTAATTGTTTAGTGTTGAGCTTGTACATTAACTGTCCAAGCTGAAAAATATACAAGTCTTTAATTTTCAAAATGTTATTATTCAGAAAAAGATTATTCGTGTGTGCCCGGAAATCTGCATTATTAATAATACGAATCGCTCTTTTTTGTAATATAAAGAGTCTATTAATTTGGGAAGTTGCTGCACTGCCCCAGGCAATAAGTCCGTAATTCAAGTAAGGAAGAATAAGCGTAGAATACAAGGATAACATAATATAATGGGGTAGGAAGTGTCTTAATTTACTAAGGATACCAGTGTTGCGAGCAATGATTTTGCAGATATTGTCAGTGTGCGCTTTCCAAGATAGTTTTTCATCAATAACTAGCCCCAAAAATTTAGTTGTTCGGGCCCTTTGAATGACAGTACCATCAAAAATTATACAATTAGGCAAAGTTGCAACCTTATTACTAAATAGCATGTAACTAGTTTTGTCTAAGTTAAGTGACAGTTTGTTTGCTTTTATCCAATTTGCCACATTTTTAAGTTCGTTATTTAGTATTTGCGTCAATTGCTCTGGATCGCGATGTGACAAAAAAATATTTGAGTCGTCAGCAAAAAGTATAAATTGAAGCAGACAAGATGACCTCTCGATGTCGTTTATATAAATAATAAACAAAAGTGGGCCAAGAATACTTCCTTGCGGAACTCCGCAAAGGACAGGTTTACTTTCAGAGAAATTACCATTCAGCGAAACAAACTGGGAGCGCCCTTTAAGATAATTCTTGAACCACGTCAACGGATTTCCCCTAATTCCATAGTGAGAAAGTTTGTAAAGAAGTACATCATGATCAACAGTATCAAATGCTTTAGAAAAATCTATGAACAAACCAACCGTATTAGAAGACTGATCGATAGCTTTGGCAACCGTTTGAACTAAAGAAAGTATGGCATGGGTAGTGCTACTCTTTTCTCGGAAGCCAAATTGAGTATCAGAGAGGATGTTGTGCTTTTTAAAGAAACTCATGGTCCGTATGTGGACCAACTTTTCAAGGATTTTAGACAAGGTTGTAAGCAATGAGATTGGTCTATAATTACTTGTTAATGTACTGTCACCCTTTTTGAAAATTGGGATTATTTTCGAAATTTTCATTGTTTCTGGAATATGTCCAGATAATAATGACAAATTAAATATATAAACGAGAGGATCAACAATATAATTCATAGTTTTCTGTAAAAGGTTGTTATCAATTTCATCAAATCCTGCACTCTTATTTATTTTTAGGCCAGATATAATCTTAATTATCTCTTGTGGGTACGTAGGAGAGAAAAATATAGAACTTTCATTTCTCTCCCCCAAATAGTGGTGAAATGAACGGTACGTGGATGGTATGTGCCTAGCAAGATTAAAACCAACTTGAGAAAAATAATTGTTGAAAATATCTGCCAACTGAACTTCATCTTCAACTATTGCATCATTATGTCTAAGCTTAGTAATCTTAGAATGCTTTGATCCATTGTTGATGGTAGAATTGATGATCTTCCATGTTCTTTTAAGATCATTTTTGCAACGATTGAATTGATCATGAGAATAATCTTTTTTAGCAGTACGTATCACTCCTGTAAGTTTATTCTTATAATTAGTATACTGGATCCGTGTTTGATCAGTTAATTTAGATATATATTTATAGTATAATTTATTTTTTCGATTTATTGAACGTAGAATCGAATTCGTTATCCAAGGTAGTCTGGGTGACTTCTTATAATTTTTAGACTTGGGTTTAGAAAAAGGAATATTTCGATTTACATGAGACATAAAAATTCCAATAAGATTTCATACGACTGGTTAACATCATCTGTATTAAATACGTCATCCCAAGATTCTTCTTCTAGGCTTAGTTTCAATCCACATAGGTTTTCGTCATTATATACACGTCTTTTAGGTGCATCACTAGGAGAGTTATTTGCCTGAAATCGTTCTAAATAATACATGAAAATCGGGAAATGATCAGAAATATCTGACAGAACTATGCCAGCTTTAAATTCAGAGCGTACATTTGAAAAAAAGTTGTCAATAAGAGTTGCCGAAGTATTGGTTATTCTAGTGGGTCTAGAAATAAGTGGCAAGAAAGAGGCAGAGAGGAATGTCTCTAAAAAATCATGTGCATGAATATTAGCATCACTCGTTAAGAGATCATAGTTGAAATCTCCCATTATGATACACTTTTTGTTTTGAACGGAGTGATAGTGTAATAAATTATTCAAAGTGTCCAGAAAATCAGCATGGTTGCTCTGAGGTGGCTTATAAACAACTCCCAAGATAGTTTTTCTTCTATTGCGATCAGTAATTTCAATAAACAAAGTTTCTGCAATATCATTCATCACTTTCATGTCTTCGATTACAACATATTCAAATTGACTTGGCACAAAGAATGCAACACCACCACCTATTTTGTTTGTACGATTATTTGTAAGTATATCATATCCAGGGAGAGAAAACAGTGTATTATTTTGATCTGAAAGCCACGTCTCAGTTACGCCTAATACTGTATTTTTGGGAACTCCTGTGTTATCTATAAACGAACGAAACTGTTCATGAAAACCTCCAAAAAAAAGACAATGTAGTATGACAAAAAACAGAAGCTTAGTGGTCCGAAGAAATAATATTAAAGGAATAAAAAAGAAAAAAGGTGGATAGACATAAAGATAGATACATGAGGTTTCAAGTTTTCAGGTTTTATTTGTTCCATATTTTACAGGAAATTAAATAGGCCTACAAGTCATATAAAATATTTTTTTAATTCTCAATACATGTAGTATATAAAGGGTCATAAGCACGTCTCAATGATTCTCAATTCATATAATAGATTATTAGTAAGTAGAATGTGAGGAACCCATTAAAGAAGTAGTGCTTGTATTATATACATAGATGGGTTATACAGAAAGCCGACCTCATAGTCAAAGAGAGAGAGAGAGAGAGAGAGAGAGAGAGAGAGAGAAGCACTGATCTGACATCTTAAAATTTAAATTCTATTCAATATAAGCAGGTGAATAGAGTAACATATAGATATATAAATACATGGTTAGATATATAGATAGATAGATAGAAAGATGAATAAATAGATTGATAGATAGATATAGAAAGCCGACCACAATACAGTCAAAGGGAGAGAGAGGGGGGAGGGGGGGGGGGGGGATAGACAATCATACTCTCTTTAAAAAAAAAGAGTGAATTTTCACTCTATTTTCACTTTCTTGGGAGTGACGTCCGTGATCACTTGTTTAGGAGTGAAAATCGATTGATTTTAGAGTGCTCTCTAAGAAGAAAAGAGTGAATGTTTTCTCTATTTTCACTACATTTTCACTCTCCAGAGGAGTGACGTCCGTGATCACTCGATATTTTTTAGAGAGTATATAGCACCTGTTTTATTGGCCAATCATTTATATGATAATGAAAAAAGAAAATGCAAACAGATTCTAAACCGGTTGATAAATAGATAAATAGATGGCTTATACAGAAATCCGACCTTATAGTCAGAGAGAGAGAAAGAATATAGGCAACTGAATAACAAATAGATAGATAGATATTATAGATAGATAAATGAATATAGAAAGCCGACTATAAAGTCAAAGAGAGAGAGAGGGAGAGATGGTGAGGCCGGGAGAGAAAATTATTTCTATGAGAATGAAAAGTATAAAGAACATAAAGAAAACGTAACATATATTAATTTCCATTTGAACAGAAGCATAAGTTCAAATATTGCACATTCATCTGCCACCTTCATTAAAAAAAATATATCATAATATGGTTTAAATCTATACAAAAATGCATAATAAAGAAAGAGCAGTATATTTTTCTAAATAAAATGTTTCATATAGGTATGATGATGATGATGATGTTGATATTTTGATTCCTCTCGATTTATGATGTCCCACCGGTTCGACTCTTGTTGGCCGCGTTCTTTAATGCTTTGAACTGATATCTTTAAAGACCTATATGATTTTAATTGCATTACCAGGAATGGAGAGAATACTTAAATGGGGGCAAAGGGGATTTCCCCGTTATCTGAATAAAAACAAAAAAACAGCCATTTATATATAGCTACGGGTCGCGGGGTATCATCAATAATCAATTTATTATAATAGAATCAAGCCGCATATTATAAGACAAATTGTACTATAGTATAGACACGTTTTTAAAAGACTTACCCTTTCTTCCAAAAATAGCTTCTTCCTCCCGTCTGGGGAAATTCAGAATTTGTCAGTTGATATAAATATAACTTTAGAATTATGATTGAACGCCGGAGTATGCAATATTATTGCACTCTGCCTGGCGTCATGCATGGTCTAATTGTTAATTAATAACATGACCCCACCCCTCCCCCTTTCAACTCATTTTACCACGAAACTTCCCCCGGTCTGCCCTGCGAGATTCAGTTCTGGTATTGGTCTATACAATAGTTGCTTGTCGGTGGATGTAATGTAGCAGACGCCAGACGGTGACATTGCGAAATGTTCAGATTTGGATTAGCGCCCTCAATCCAAGTGTAAATTGTCTTTCGGGTGGGTCTGATATAATAAACATGCCAAACTGCAATATTAAAAAAAAAAAATAAACAAACCATTCCAAATACCATAGGCGCCGGAAGTGGGGGGGGGGGGGGGGGCAAAACGCATTGTTGCCCCCCCCCCCCCCGACAAAAAAAAAAGGAGAAAAGGAGTAAAGATCGTTTGTATTATTAACCCAAAAGAACTAACAATAATAAAAACCTGAGTTAAATCACATATCAAATTTCATTCAAAGAAAAGGAAACTTAACCGAATCAAATTTCCTAAACATTCCGCATGCAACCTCAATGGAGGTTTTTTTTAATAATATATAGCGATACGCATTGTCGTGGAAATATTGTGAGAGGAAGGGAAAGCGTATGTGTATTTTGTTTTAATGGTGAGAAGACATGAGCCCCTGAACGCTGGTATACTGACGGGGGGGGGGGGGGGGGGGTATTTCTTATTCGATACCAGTGATTTACAAATGTTTCTGAAATGACATGATTTTCCGGTATTTGTCATACTTTTTTATGCGTTTGTTGGAAAATTAGAAATTCCCAAATTTACAGTCGGGCGAAAAATACGCTTATTTAGAAACCTTCATTTCAAGGCGTGCAGAACGGCTGGGCTTGGGGGCTCGAGCTCCCCTCACTTTAGGAAAAAGTGCAGAGAAGAAGAGAGGAAGAGAAAGTGAAAAAATAAGTGACCTGCCAATGTCACAAAAGAGGTATCAAAAATGATGCTCATCTGAACGTAATTAAATGCCTAAAACCCCAGAGCTTACGGGGGCTCTGCCCTCGGACCCCACCAAAGGACCTAAAGCTGCCCCCTGGATGTTCATCTGACCGTAATTAAATACCTAAAACCCCTGAGCTTCCGGGGGCTCTGCCCCCTGGACTTCCCGCCAATTAGTGACCTGCATGCCAGTTTCACAAATAAGTTATCTAAATGCTTATCTGAACGTAATGTAATGCCTAAAAAAAAAAACCGAGCTTCCGGTGGGCACAGCCCCTTGACCCCCTGCCGGGGCTCGGGCCCTGGACCCCCGTCAATTTACGCTCTACCTGATCGTTAATACTCCACTTTGAAAAACGTTCCGTGGGGCCTCCATGTTACGTGTAAGAGTGTTGGTGATGAAGATTTTTCTTCGCCCCCCCCTTCCAAACGTTTTTGCTCATTACGCCATTACTTAAGGTGGGCCCCCTAGAACGTATGCCCCCTCCCCCAATCCCAAACTGCTTTCTGCGCGCCTTCCAATTACCATTCATAATAACAACATGCTTGATTTGTAATCGTTATTATGTATTATATTGCTTTTAGTTTGAAATATAAAATAAAAAGGTATGAATCGAAGGTAGATTTACCATGGAGGAGGAAGGAGGAAGAAACGATGATGCTTCAAGAAAATTAAAAAATTAAAAAAGAAGAAGAAGAAGAAGGAAAAAAGCTACAACAATAAAAGAATTGGAAACGAAGTAGAAGAAAGAGAATTGAGGCTTCGGTCGGAGAAATGACAAACAGTATGAAGTGTTACTTTCAATTCAGTTAAATTTATTTATGTTTCCAACAAAACATTACAAACCATAATACTTTTATTCATCTAATTTTGTAACTTTTGCGTTTAATGTATATATTCAAAGAAAAATTATGCGTCTAGAACTCAGAGCAAACGAACGAACGGACAAGCAAACAACCAGACAAACAAACAAACCAACTAAAATGTAAATGACAATCATGGTCGCAGGGTCTATACTGTCTTCTCGTCAAGCAAGGAGACAAATCGCTGCTTGTAGGTTTTGTTGGTTTATGCTATACTGCTCAAAGCATTTTAGACTATAGTAATACATTGTATTTGTAAACGGAAAATGAATTCATTAATTTAAGAGAAGAAAAATGCCCTTCAAAAAGCCGCACATGCAATAAAACAATACTGTACGTGACCCCAAAGTCAGCTACCCCCTCGAATCGTATTTAATTTTTCCCGAGACGGGCTAAAATGTGTGATGTATTAATTCGGAGCCCCTTTTCGACACCATAATAACTTATAAAGGAAGTAAGCGAAAGAGATAGAGAAAGAGAGAGAGAGAGAGAGAGAGAGAGAGAGAGAGGGGGGGGGGGGTAGAAATGAAATGGAAACTGAAAGGAAGAAAGACAGTAGACTTGAATACAGGAAGAAATAAAAGAAGGAAGAAAGGAAGTTAGATGGATCATAGAAAGTAAGAAAGTAGGCCTACGCGAGAAAGAAGGAACAAAGATGAATAAAGAAAGAAAGAAAAGAAGATGAAGAAAAATAGGCCTATTAAATGACAATTGATTAAAAAAAAAATATATATGGACATCTTCAGAAATCTAAGTCTCTTTCAAAATATAAACAGAAGGTCTGTAGCTGATGTGGAGCATTTTAACGCGTCGCTTTTGAAAGCATTCATAATTTTTTTTTTTTTAAAGTCCAAATGAAACCAACCAACAACACTACAGTAACAACAAAAATTGAATACAATTATAATGCACACCATTCTCTTTAAAAAACATGCAGGAACATACTTTTGTCTTATTTCAGGCAGTTCATTCCGTGTATAGGCATGCAACTATCCTTTTCCATAATGTCAATAAATCCATTAGGTATAAGCGTAGGTCCTATTGGCCATTTTGCGAGAGGTTTAGCTGACAATATTTGACCCGCCTATAAGCCTATCAAGAAAGCGGAAAGATCGACCTCCGAAAAAATTGACCCTAAATCCCATTAATTACAGGCTATTATAGATCCGGTGAAAATGCACTTTCGTCATGAAAATTTTCGCAAGAAGGCTCAGCTCGAATTATAGATCAGTGATGGCTGAATACCGGAGGGGCCTGGTAGAGGAGAGGGGGGGGGGGGGGGGTGGGTGGTAGCCCTCAATCCCCTTCCCACTCCTCATACGCCTATTATTGATGACAAGTGATGACATCATAATATATATACATATTATCGAGTAACTACCGGAGAATCTAGTTGTGAATTGAAACAATTTATATATAGAAATGAGATTGGATTCGGAAACAGCTCACGGATCTTTATTAATAATTGTATTAATAAAGGGGAAGAACCCGTCCTTTGTGCGTTAACTTTGTTTAATTATAACGACATTTAGTTTTGTAACCAATTTCTAAATCAACATGGTTATTGCGCAATGCGTTCTAGCGTGTAAACAGGGAGTAAATTCCCCTGGTGTAATTACTTTTTCTGGGGGTGTACTGATATCATAATTAGGTTTCCAGTGCCATATGGTGCTAGGACCTCAAAAGAGAAATATGAAATTATGTAAAAAGATGTCGACCCGACTCGATACCTTTTCAAAAAGAGAAGTTAATTTCGAAATGAATAAGCGTTGAAGAATTCTGAAATTGCAACGTGCACCTGCCGTACTATACGTCGGTTACAACAGGACCGCTACATATCCCATCTTTTGTTACCCCCCGTACTTCCCCGAATCCTTCATCCATAAACAATAACAACTGTGCTTTTGTTCTGGACGCGTGTGACGACATCCACGCGCGACCGCTTTCTCTAGCTCTAGCTCTACTACGGAAAATACCAGTGCAAAGTCAAAGGTCACAACCAATGTTGTGAGTCAATTCGCATATATGCATAATCGCCGGAGCTACAGCGAACGCACACACTACACTAGCGATACGCGACGAAGTTACGCAGTTATCTTTGTGTATATTCTCAGCTACAGGACTTTAATCGCTACTGGAAAAGGAACCTAACCACATAAAATGTCCAGTTTTTATTCTTTTGCCATCGTTTAAGAAACAAGTTAAAATCTGATTGTGAGGAATAGACACACTCAAACACTATCATGGGTTCTACGGGCCAACAGGGAGGCCGTTTCGTGGATTATTTCGTCGTTTGCGGGCTCGATCCGACGAACGCTTTGGAGCTGGATCAATTGGCAGGTACGTACTGGGGTGCAGCAGTACGCCCATTATGCGCGGCCAGCGCTCTGGCTGTACGCGTTGTTAATGGCCCGTTACGGCACTAGCAGAATGTGTGTGCTCATATGAGATGTATATAAACTGACAAATATAAAAGATGTACAGTTGTAGGCCTATATATCTTTCTTGCTGAAGATCGAGATAGGCAAGTTAGATCTATTTATGTATATGTTATATCATGCAGATTTAACAATGTACTTTCTTGTTGATTGATGATGAAGATATCAAACAGTGTTTGAAAATGTTCATTAGATCTAGATGTGTGGTGTGAATTTGCATAAGAGTCAGAGTGACATTGATAAAATCGATTCTGAATGTGTGTGTTATAGATCTATGTTTGTCCTTTCTTTTTGTTTGATGTCAGGAATGTAGGGAATAGAACTTTATAGATTTTACATGTTCATCAATCAGATGGATGCAGATCGCCTTAACATAGCCATTTGACAGTAAACGTATACAGGTACCATGGGTACATGTTTGTTTCACTGTGACTGGTTTCACTTCCAGCTTAAAATTAGACTTCGCTTTTAAATAACAAAAATATATATTACAGGGAGTAATTTTCCTCAAATTTTTTGATTAGCAATTTCAGCCGATGGATAAATATTTCAAATGAAATTCTGTACATTCCTATGGAAGAAAACTGCTACACAAAAGATATTTTGTATAGCAGTCATGCGAAAATGCATAGCAAATTGCGATGCGATACCAGGAAAATTATTCCCTGTATTATAATTACAGTACATGTAGATCCTAACAAATATAAGCTTATCGTTGAATGGTTCTCTTTGCTCCTGACATCCAGAAATAAAAATTAAAAAACTAAAAAAACGGTGACGCGGGTTTGAAACCAAGACGATGCGTTAGTGCCCTTTGGTAAGGCATTAATCCTCATTACCAGGTCCCTCGGAGAGGACCTAAAGCCGTCGGCTATCTGGTTGCTTACTAACAAGCATTTATGCTTACCTGCAGTCAGGTAAAATAACCAGCTCTCTCTCTCTCTCTTGTATCCTTCCTCCGCTCAGACTCGGAGATCGTCGGCACAAAACAATTATTGGGATTGCAATGCAGTATATATGGCATGTCATGTAATTCAGTCTTGATTGATAAGGAAGAGAGAATTCAACAATCTTGCAAACAACTTGCAAAACCTTTTCATAAAACCTGGTTATTAAACAGGTAGAATATTCTTGTGTGACATCGTCCAGCATTACTTGTGTTTTGTTCCTGGTTTAAAGTACTGTTAATGAAGTTACTGAAACATTCTCAATTCAGCAAAGGAAGGGAGTTGTTTTATAAGAAAACATTAGCACTTCCTTGTTGGCATTGGGCCTTTGCCAAAAGAACCTGGAGAAAACATTCCACAAGTCACTTTTTGTTTAATTAATAAAAAACAAATAAATTGTTATTACACAACCTCCTCCCTCCACAAATAGCAGCAACCATGGAATAATCTTGGATTGATGAACAGGCTTAGAACTACAACATCGTGTATTAAAGTAAAGTAAAGTGTGTGTTTGAGGTGAGAGAGAGAGAGAGAGAGAGAGAATGTTTTGAATATATGTTTCAATATTTATGTACAGTATTATAAATTGCATCAAGCTTGCATTTTGTAGGCCTATACTCAAAGTACAAGTAACTGTGCATAGAGCTTACAATTACAGGCTTACTGTACTCAAATCTGTAGGCTAAATGGCAAAGAAAAAAATGAGGGGATTGATGGACTTGGTAATGAGCATTAATGCCTTAAGCTACAGTCCCATATACGTCCCGGACCGTCCCGGACCATCCCGGACCCCATCCGGGGTGATCCGGGATTCGGTCCGTGTTGACACCGTGTTGGCACCGGGGTGGTCCTGGATGGTCCTGGATGGTCCTGGGTGGTCCTGGATGGTCCTGGGCGGTCCGGGAGTCGACCCCGGATGTTTTTGACGGTCAAAAACTGCCGGGGTGGTCCGGGACGGTCCGGGACAATAGTTTGATCCGGGGTGATCCGTGTAGCCACCGTGCTGGGTCCGGGGTCATCCGTAGTGGCGCCGGGGCGGTCCGTGTTGATCCGTGGCAGTCCGGGAGTGAGTTATTGACCGCCCAGGACCATCCAGGACCATCCAGGACCATCCAGGACCATCCAGGACCACCCCGGTGCCAACACGGTGTCAACACGGACCGAATCCCGGATCACCCCGGATGGGGTCCGGGATGGTCCGGGACGGTCCGGGACGTATATGGGACTGTAGCTTTTAAAGCATCACACTTTTTGAACAAAACATCCCGGACCATCCCGGATCACCCCAGACCATGGTCCGGGATGGTCCGGAATGGTCCGTGCTCGTCCGTGCTGGTCCGGCTTTATATGGGACTGGGGCTTTACTTACCAAAGGGCACTAGTGCATCAACTTTGTTTTAAAGTTTGAACCCGGAACCTCCTGGTTATGAGACCACTGCTCTACCACTTAGCCATCACGTCTCTTTGTACACTGTATTATTATAACGCATCTGTTATCTTTAATTAGAGTTATAATCAAAATACTATTGTTGGACAAGACAGTTGTGAGAAGGGCCGCTTCCTATTCCACTTTATATCAAGTTTGGAGTGGTCTTCCTGTTGTTATTATCAACTTGTTAACGTCTTGCGATCTTTGATGTTATATACCCAGTTTTGTATTGTCTCTACTATCTATTTACTCATTCTGCGAAGGATACACTCCGCAGTTCTCCAATCCTGGAGGAAACCAAGAAGAAGAAGAAGAAGAAGTTATTGATTGCATAATGTACATGTACATGTACATACATGTATTCATGTACTCAACATGTGCACAGGAATGTGTGCACAAAAAAAAAACATACTGAAAATGTACTTAACATTTAGTGCATGTATTATTGTATATTATTCAAATCTTTAAAAAAGAAAAGAAAAGCCAAGCACAATCAAGGAACAGGACTGTTCCTTAGACGAGTCAGACTCTTGGTACCTGTATAGTTGCAAAAATTCTTGCAACGAAAGAGCAGAATATATTTTAAGGACATGCAGGTACTGATTCTGTACGGGAAACAAATACATTGTAGAACTCATTAAAAATGGTTGTCCAATCTAACGACCCGGACATGACTACCAGTACATTCTCCCTCACCTCATTAGAGTTGTTGTTTCGTATCTGTTTCTTTTTTCCCCCTTCCCCATTTTTTTAATGATGCTGCCAGCAATTCTCTGCTGGTTTTCGCCAAGATAAGGAACAGCAATTACCTTAAAACCATGGCGATCTACGTCATATTCTAATATGTCTTTTCCATCATGCTAGTTGGGGAAAGAAATGGAGGGGAGGAAATTCTATATTTCTATGATATATCCTGTATTCCAATATTTCTGGTAGATGGATTAATTCTTGATAGTCATGATGTCACCTTTTCCAGGTGAAAGTAAATCTTCACTTTACCAAGTGTTTCCTGGAGTCCACAAAATGGGCAAGTTTCCAACTTTCAAAGAAAATGTCAAATCTTTCTCATGCCCTAACAATTTACACCCTTCCATGTTCACAGACATTGAAAAGATGTATGACAAAATTCAAACTTACCATAAAATCATAAAATAAAATACCCTTCTTTCTAAAGATGGGTAATAAATATAAATAAATAAAAAAATAAAAAAATAAAGACAATTAAAAAAAAGTGTTTGGTACATGTACATACTGTACAGTAGGATACAAGAGTTTATTTAGAACTACTGTATACACACATGTAGAGGTTGTATGCATCAATTTCTTGTACTGAAAGAATACTTGAATGGGTTAATCAGGGAGGTGGTACACACCTCCTTGGGTCAATGTAGGAACGACCCCTCTTCATTACCAATACCAGTAGACCTGAGTTCCACCCTCTAATTCACCCCAGCTGGCAGACTTATTGGTAGTTTTGTTCTGTGTTTGGGGAGAAAGCAATTGTTAAAAGTCAATTTACCATGGCAACATCTGCCTCGTCCATTGATGGGTATCCCAGCTGCCCCTCCCAAAACAAGGGATGCATTGTCCGATTCTTGTGCACTAGTGTGAAAAATAACTTTTATGAAGATGAGAATGAATTTAGTAACTCCCTTTTGTTTACCGTAACTCTTGATAAAATAAAGATATGGGATCAATAGAGCTCAGAGTACCAATACAAGTAGAATTTATCCAGGGCCTTCTTTTTCATGCAGCTGTTACGACTCTCACTCACGAGTTGTCATGTTGGCCTTGCCTGTAAACCTACATGTACATTTGTAAATGTACATTTGTACATGTTGCCTGCAGCAATTTGTGTTGGCCTTCAGATACCCATGTACATGTACAGTGTACATGAAATAATGCAGAATGAAGCACAGTAGGCAGTTAAGCGCAAAAGGTGGCCTGATCTTTTGGGGATCTACAGTGCACTATATTCACATAAACATGGCCCCTGTGTTATAAAACTTGATATAACAATATTATCAATATTAACTTCAAGTTTCCATCGCAATTCTATTTTAAAGCCACATCTTCTGTATGTAGGCTTTCTTCATGCTGTTGCTTGCATGCTGTAAAAATGACTCTGATTGAGGGGAAACTGTTTTTCATGCACTTTAAAGTTCATACACATATACCGGTATCTCTTCTCTTCTTGAACACACCAAGGAGTTATTACCAGGTACATGTACATGTATGTAAGCTTTCCTAGTTGCCTTCAAGCCCTGTACATGTTCAGTGTTTAATACACTGTCTTTTGTCTTATCATGTCCCAGTTGTTCATACACATTTACATGTTGTAGATCTCCCTTTTTCACAAACACACCAAGGAGTTTATTACAAGGTACATTTAAGCTTGCCTTCAAGCCCTGTACATGTTTAGTGTAACTCCTTGAACACACTATCTTTTGTCTTGCCATCTCTGGCCCAAATGAGCAGAGCACAAACACTAATCACACACTGATTACACATACATTTACATACAAT